GGACAAGTGCTGGCTCTATGGCTTGAAAACGGGATGAGCATCGCCCCTTAGAGTTGGACACAACTGGACTAAAAATGTCAAGGGGAATCTTTACCTTTACCTATCAGAGTTAAGTGGTACATTACCCAAAGCAAGCATGGTTATTTTGGCACTAGAGGCAGAAAAATGCCATAATCATCTTGCCCGCCTTCCCCAATCTGCTGGAAAAACGAAGACAGTTTATAAAAAACAACAACACTGAGCCACTTGCTTCCCTTCTGTGATACCTCATATCTCCTGCCTAATAGTCAGGCTAGCCCTATGATCTAGCTGTGGACACTGGGGAGGTGGGTCAAGTGACCCCAGGAAGTCATATTTCTGGAGATGCTGGGTAGCCAATTTATAGCTGCCACCCTCCTGGCATTTGTAAACAAAGGTAGAAGGATCTGGGAGTTGGCAAACTGGCATTTTATCCTTCTCCCTGCTGTGACTGGCAGCCATTCTGCTGCCACCAGAGATGGACGGGAGGGTTTTTTGATGGTTGCCAAGCAACCGCAGCAGATGTCCTTCCTAACTCATAAGGTAGAATGGAAGTGAAAGACAGGTCTGCTTGATAAATCTTCTTTTTCAAGGGCTCTGAAGAAGACAAGTGTGACAGACATGGAACTTCTCCATTCATGGTTTTAGACGTGAAGATGGGCGGTAGGGAGTTGAGAAGACATCTCTCTCCTTGGTTCATTCTCTCAGTGGTATTTCGAAATCTCTGAGTAATGAGAGAGGGGAGGTGCCAGAAATACATACCCCCATCCAAGATCCAACATGCAGTCTGAGCGCATGCAATGCACACTTCGAAGCAGTACAAAAACAAGGGTGAGATATTAGGCCACAAAATAATAATAATAATAATAATGAAATGCAGACCAACTTTCAAGCCCAGTGATGCTTCTTCAGGCTGAGCGTTGTAGAGCTTAAGATGGGGCAGGAAAAAGAGGGAGGTGTAGAAATCCTACCAGAGGTTGCAACGTCAGGTTATGAGTTGACATAATGTCCCAAGACAGTGACTGCAATCAAGCTGACTCTTCAGGTTTCACTTCAGGCCATGTTGAATCACGTATCCTTCCCCCAATTTACAGAGAAAGGGCCACCAGTCACTGAATGCGTTCTCCATGGGGACTCCAAGAACTGGAGATGGTGGGGGCTGGAGTATTACTTAAAGAAGATACTGTAGATTTGCCCCAAGGTACCTCCCTGGAAAAGACCCTGATGTTGGGAAAGTGTGAGGGCAAGAGGAGAAGGGGGACGACAGAGGATGAGAGGGTTGGACAGGGTCATCAAAGCAACCAACATGAATTTGACCAAACTCCGGAAGGCAATGGAAGACAGGAGGGCCTGGCGTGCTCTCTGGTCCATGGGCTCATGAAGAGTTGGACACAATGGTTGTTGTGGGTTTTTCGGGATCTTTGGCCGTGTTCTGAAGTTTGTTCTTCCTAACGTTTTGCCAGTCTCTGTAGCCGGCATCTTCAGAGGACAGCACTCTGTGCTCTGGTGTATTTGGCTTGGGAGTGGACACGACTTAACAACTAAACAACAACAACAATCTGCTTTTATTTGAATACAAAGTGGGTTGAGGGAATGGGCTTCTGCACACCTCAGTAATGACCCTACTGCTCACCATGCTTGATCCTGCTCTTATGGGCTTGCCTTCAGAGAAGGTGTGATCAATAGAATGCAGGATCTTTATGCAGGTTTTGATGTAAATTGAGGAAGGGAACCTTTCTGCTTCCCTCACCGCATTCCCTTTGTGTGGACTGCAACCCTGCCAAGGACTTTTGGGTTGGGCAAATCCAGAACAAAAGTTTGCAAGGCTGCCCCTCCCTTCTCCTCCTCCCACCACGTCCCTCTGGCCTTGGAGGAAAGGGTGCCTCCCTCTGGCCCACACAAATTGTTTGCAAGGGGTTTTTAAAATCAGGCCAAGGGCTGCGTCCCTCCCTGCCTGGGACATAAATCAAAATGTAACGGAGGAGTGGTTTCTGCTAGCTGAAAGACAAAACTGCAGGAGAAACACAGCCATATTATAACGACACAGGAGACAAACGAGGCGAGGAAGCCCTTTCAAGTCTCTTCATGTGGCGAGTCATTACTGGTCCTGTGGGGTCGACCAGAACAGCCAACCCTCCAGTGACATATTTTGTATACCATTCAAGCCACACCCTTGCTCTTATTTTATATTGCTCAATGTTAGGATCACCAAAGAGGGGTATAGATTGGAAAAGCGAGGCACCCCTACAATCAGGGATTGGGTAGTTAGTGTGTGGCCCTCTAGATGGCGCTGGACTACAGAGCCCACTACCCTCCATCAGTTGAGGGGCGTTGTAGTGCAATAATATCAGCTACATGTTCCCCCACCCCAGGCTTAAATTTTCTGCCTTGAATAACCAAGATGTCCACAGTCAGTTTCCTCCCTCAAGCAGAATGGTGTTGTAGCATTTTGTGGAGTGATTTAATGCACTTTCTGTGTGGTGGCTGCAACGTGTAACAAAGATGAAGAGGGTTGCCTTTTTTACACCATCAAAAAACACACAGACCTCAAAACAAGAGTATCCCAGGATGCTTATAAATAACTTTAATGCAGCTTTTCCTTCAGAGAGGTGCATTTGGAAGTCTGTAGATGGCCGGGGAACAAGCCCTTTTCTGTTAAAGCTGCAGCATTCCCTGAAGGAAGAATATACAGGATTTTGGAAGCTGTCAGAAGTTTAAAGAGAGAGGACATTAATGTTATTTGCAGGCACCTTGGGATATTTCCTCTTGTTTTTGTGGACTGTAGTAAAAAGCATAAATTGAGCTTCACCACCCTCCCTCAGAGGTCTCGCCCCCCCACTCATAAATGGGGGTTATTGTCAGGGTGAGTTTGAATCACACAATAAGCCCCAAGAATTCCTAATTGCTATCTGTCAAAATTAGCCGTATCAACCAAACAGCTTAATGGAGTTTGAAGTAAGCCAGTCCCCAAAGCTATGGAATGTCTTATTGTTTTACAACCGTTGCTAATTATCTCTCTCTCTCTCTCTTTCTTTTTTCTTTTTTGGAAAAGATTAACAATAACAGTCAGGATAGTTTGTTTTTAAAATTCCTCTCACCTTCCTCGTGGAATGAGCAAAGCCTGGAACCTCATCTGCGTCCCTGCATGCTCTGTCTTCCCTTGTTAGGGTCTAGCATCGACCTTACCTAACAGAGATGAAAAACCAATTATTGCTCACGTCCCTGATAAAGGGAACAGTTTAGGAAGTCATGATGAAATCTCCATCTTTTTTTTTTTTCCTTTCCATTTCAGATAGTCTCTCATTCTATGCCATTTGCTGGGCCTGGAAATGTTCCTTTTTTTTTTTTTTTGGTTTTAAAACCCCCCACGCAGGGGTCATTACTGGTCCTGTGGGGTCGACCAGAACAGCCAACCCTCCAGTGACATATTTTGTATACCATTCAAGCCACACCCTTGCTCTTATTTTATATTGCTCAATGTTAGGATCACCAAAGAGGGGTATAGATTGGAAAAGCGAGGCACCCCTACAATCAGGGATTGGGTAGTTAGTGTGTGGCCCTCTAGATGGCGCTGGACTACAGAGCCCACTACCCTCCATCAGTTGAGGGGCGTTGTAGTGCAATAATATCAGCTACATGTTCCCCCACCCCAGGCTTAAATTTTCTGCCTTGAATAACCAAGATGTCCACAGTCAGTTTCCTCCCTCAAGCAGAATGGTGTTGTAGCATTTTGTGGAGTGATTTAATGCACTTTCAACGTGTAACAAAGATGAAGAGGGTTGCCTTTTTTACACCATCAAAAAACACACAGACCTCAAAACAAGAGTATCCCAGGATGCTTATAAATAACTTTAATGCAGCTTTTCCTTCAGAGAGGTGCATTTGGAAGTCTGTAGATGGCCGGGGAACAAGCCCTTTTCTGTTAAAGCTGCAGCATTCCCTGAAGGAAGAATATACAGGATTTTGGAAGCTGTCAGAAGTTTAAAGAGAGAGGACATTAATGTTATTTGCAGGCACCTTGGGATATTTCCTCTTGTTTTTGTGGACTGTAGTAAAAAGCATAAATTGAGCTTCACCACCCTCCCTCAGAGGTCTCGCCCCCCCACTCATAAATGGGGGTTATTGTCAGGGTGAGTTTGAATCACACAATAAGCCCCAAGAATTCCTAATTGCTATCTGTCAAAATTAGCCGTATCAACCAAACAGCTTAATGGAGTTTGAAGTAAGCCAGTCCCCAAAGCTATGGAATGTCTTATTGTTTTACAACCGTTGCTAATTATCTCTCTCTCTCTCTCTTTCTTTTTTCTTTTTTGGAAAAGATTAACAATAACAGTCAGGATAGTTTGTTTTTAAAATTCCTCTCACCTTCCTCGTAGAATGAGCAAAGGCTGGAGCCTCATCTGCGTCCCTGCACGCTCTGTCTTCCCTTGTTAGGGTCTAGTATCGACCTTACCTAACAGAGATGAAAAACCAATTATTGCTCACGTCCCTGATAAAGGGAACAGTTTAGGAAGTCATGATGAAATCTCCATCTTTTTTTTTTTTCCTTTCCATTTCAGATAGTCTCTCATTCTATGCCATTTGCTGGGCCTGGAAATGTTCCTTTTTTTTTACAAACCCCAGCAGCAGGGCTGCTTTGAGGGAAATGAGGAGTTTAGTTTCACAAAGTAAAATTTCCCAAACTCCGCTATTTTGTGCAAGAGACCATTTCACCCCACATTTCCCATAGTTTGGAGCTGTAGGGCAGTAATTCTGCTAGGCATCTGGCCCGAGAGATTGCTTTCCATGCCACGTAATGGACCATATTTTGTTCTGGGACGGGCTCTGCCATTGAGCAGAGTGAGGCCACTGCCTTATGTAGCCAGAGCTAGGAATAGGCGGCTGCAACAAAAATTTGAAAGACAGCTTATAGGGTCACCTTTTAGCTCCTTAAGTTATCTTTTTTTAGACTTCTTATAATTTTAACTCCTTAGTAGACCAGGATGTAAACTGAGATTAGGTTTAACTGGTTGCCTTTGTCTATGTTTTAATGTTTTTGATGTGTTACCTGCCTTGTTTTAGTTTTTGTCTAAATTATATTTAATTGTTTTGCTGTATTTTATAATATCTCTTACAAGTCCATTATCCAGTCTGAGTGCTGTTTTATGGTATGGCGCTAAACGAGGGAGGCGACAATAGAAAAACAATTTCAAAATAAAAATTAAGTGAGAAAGATACCAGTAAGCAGCTTTGTGGAATGCTTTCTCAAACTGGGTACGTCATTCAAGAGCGAACTATTTGTTTTTCCTATTGTCATAATCTTTGCCATGCATCAGAATTTGAAGTCTTGGCTAATCAGAACAACTTTCTGGGTTGCTTAATTAGGGTGTGATCTGTTTCTCAAATTATTTACGTCAAGTTCAGTCAGCTGATTTTTAAAAAACACCTGATTTATGTCATAACTAGACAATGGATCTAGAAGTGTGAAACACGGATCATTATTTTTGCCAACAGGGTATTGATCCATAAGGTGGAGGGAGAACAGCTTTTTATAACCTGATGCTCCAGCTGTATTGGGCTACATCTCTCGTTATCTGTGGATCCTGGATGTGTTAGTCATGCTGGCTGGGAATGATGGAAATTCTGATCCAATAAGCTGGATTAGAGAAAGTTCCCATTTATTTAATTGGTCTATTCTAGATGAAACAAGAAAATGGATTCAGGGCCGCATGAGTGAAGGGTGCCATCACATGAAACAGCCAATCTTTATAGCACTTTCCCCCCAGGTACAGTGGTGCCTCGCTTAACAATTGCCCTGCATTACGACGAAATCACTGTATGATGATCTTTTTGCGATCGCAATTGCGATCACAAAACGATGGTCTAAATGGTTGTGTTTTTTTTGCTTTGCGAAGATCAGTTCCCTGCTTCGGGAACCAAATCTTTGCATTACGATGATCAAAACAGCTGATCGTTGAGTTTTCAAAATGGCCACCGGGTGCTTAAAATGGCTCCCCGCTGTGTTTAGGGATGGATTCCTCACTATACAGGCAGCGAAAATGACTGCCGTATGGAGGATCTTCGCTGGACGGTGAGTTTTTACCCCATTAGAACGCATTGAACGGGTTTCAATGCGTTTCAATGAGGTTTTAAATTTCGTTTTACGATGTTTTCGCTTAATGGCGATTTTCCTGGAACAGATTATCGTCGTTAAGCGAGGTACCACTGTATTATCAAATCAGTTCTGACTTTATGGAGATCCTTTTCAGGGTTTCCCAGGTAGCGAGCACCCAGAAGTGCTCTCTCCCTGGAACCCACAACAACCCTCAGATCCTGGCCGTGAAAGCCTTTGAAAATACACCCAGAAGTGCTTTACCATTCCCTTCCACCAGGGGCATCCTAGGAATGTGCAGCTTGCCCAAGGCCATCCAGGCTGGCTCTCCTAGCAGAAGGCATTGTGGGGAACTGACAGCAATCATTTTATATCATTCTAAATAAAAGTGTTTTGCATTTTTCATCATCCTCACACCCGATCCCCTCCTCCTGATGGTGAAAGAGTGTGAGGTTCCTTTGCTTCAACCAAGTCAATGAGCTTAGGGCAAAAGGAGGCTGATTCGAATCTTGCATTTCGCCTTCTTAAAGTGTTGAAAGGGACTTTGTTTCTTCACGTGGCCCACCAGCCCGTATTTTGCTTTAGGAAATGCCTAAGCAGAGCAGGATTCGGATTTAACTCTTCTTCTTCTTCTTCTCTCTCTCTCTCTCTCTCCCCCCCCTTCTGTTAAAGGCCGACGAGGCCATCATTGAAGCGGTCAACCTGGAGCAGGTGAGAAGGGTGAGAATAGGGCATGACGGCAAAGGAGGAAGCAGTGGCTGGTACCTTGGCAAAGTGATAGTGAGGGAAGATGGACAGCCAGAGAGTGAGGCTCAAGAATTCCCCTGCTACAGGTACTAGAAATGAAATGAAGCACTCCATCAGTTGCCTAACCCTAGCCCTTGACCAAGGGTGTCCACTGTGCTATAACTCCTGCTTTCTTTCCGGTCTCTCTTCCAAGGGAGGAAATGGTTGAACAACAAGGAGAGAATGGGGGGGACGGACCACATGGCAGTCATCACAATGGACCCTAGCGCCTGAAAACCGAATCTCTGCTGTCCTCTAAGACGGATGATATTGAAACAAACACACTGAGGTTCTTATAGTCTTGCTGAGTGAGATGAAAATATACATAGGCTCACATTAATA